CTCTGAAACTTGCCATCTAGCATAGAAATGGTAAAGTAAATGGAAGAAATGAGGAAGTAAAAGAGCTGAACACAGAATCTCAAAGTACAGCTTGAGTAGACAAAATCAAGTATTATAATGAAATGTACAAAGACTTGGAGTTAGGAAGCCAAAAGGGAAGAACACGCTCAGCATTTTCAAGCTGAAAGAACTGAGGAAGGAATTCAGGACTCCACTTGCAGTCTTGAAGGATTCAATGGACAAAATATGGAATGATGCAGAAAGCATCAAAGAAGATGGAAGGTATACACGGAGTCACTGTACCAATAATACTAGTTCATGTTCAGCCATTTCAAGAGGTAGCGTATGATCAAGAGACAATGGTACTGAAACAGGAAGTTCATTCTGCACTGAAGGCAATGGCAAGAAACAAGGCTCCAGAAATTGAAAGAACACAAATTAAAATCTTACAACAAACTGATGCAGCACTAGAGAACCTCTCTCATTCATTCCAAGAAGTTTGGAAGACAGCTACCTAGCCAACTGAATTGTCCATTCCAAAGATAGGTGACTCAACAGAATGCAGAAATCATCAAAAAATAGCATTAATATTATATGTAAATAAAATTTTGCTGAAGATCATTCAAAAATGGTTGCAACGGTACATCAATAGGAACTGACAGAAATTCAAGCCAGATTCAGAAGAGGATGTGGTACTAGGGATATCATTGCTGACATCAGATGACTCTAGGCTGAAAGCAAAGAACACAAGAAAAATGTTTAACTTGTGCTTTGTTAACTATGCAAAGGCTTTCAACTGGGTGGAATGTGACAAGCTATGGATAACATTACAAAGAATGGATTTTCCACACTTGATTGTGCTCATGAGAAACCTGTACATGCACCAAGAGGCAGTCGTTCAAAAAGAATAAGAGGATAGTGAATAGTTTAAAATCAGGAATGGTATGTGCCGAGGTTGTATTCTTTCACCGTACTGAGAAAATTATCTGAGAAACTGGATTATATGAAGAAGAACGTGGAGGAAGACTCATAACCTGTGACATGTAGATGATCCAACCTTGCTTGCTGAAAGTGAAGAGGACTTAAAATACTTACTGATGAAGATCAAAGAAAACAATCTTCAATGTGGGTTACATAACAATGTAAAGAAAACAAAAATCCTCACAACTGGTCCAGTAAATAAACATCATGAAATATGGAGAAAAGATTCAAGTTGTAAAAGACTTTATTTTGTTTGGATCTACAATCAACACTCATGCAGGCAACAGCCAAGAAGTCAAATGACATATTGCATTAGGCAAATCTGCTGCTCAAGAAAGACCTCTTTAAAGTGCTCAAGAACAAAGATACCAGTGTGGGGATTAAGGTGCAACTGTCCCAGGTTATTGTATTTTCAAAAGCCTCATATGCATGTGGAAGTTAGACAGTAAATAAGGAAGACCATAGAAGAATTGATTCATTTGAAGTATGGTGTTGGCGAAGAATATTGAAAGTACCATGGACTGCCAGAACCAACAAATCTTTGTTGGAAGAAGTGCAGCCAGAATCCTCGTTAGAAGCCAGGATGGTGAAACTCCATTTCTCATACTTCGGATATGTTATCAGGAAGATCCATTCTTGTTAGTAAGATATCATGCTTGGTAAAGTGAAGGGTCAGAGAAAATAGGAACACCCCCAACTAGGTGGATGGCCACAGCGGCAGCAGCATTGGGCTCAAGTGTAACAACAATTGTGAAGATGTGTGCAGGGCAATGTTTGTTTTGTTGTGCATTGGGTCACTGTGAATTAGAGCCAACTGGATCACACCTAACAACAGTCTGCAGTTTGAGGAACACTGATCTAGTTTTAAATTTTTAGTTCCTAATCTAATATGTTTTGCCCATGTTAGCATCCATCTTTGATTATTTTTATTTTTATTTTACTGAGACTACCTTTTTTGTAGCAATTCTAGCAGATATCACCTTAATCCTGGTTTGAGATACATGGGTAGATAGTAAATCCTCTTCTTTGTCTTAGTATTTGTTTTTCCTCTTACCCACTCTGAGTACGAGATACATACTCAGGGAATAAACTGAGGCTCAAAGGAATTGAATGGCTCCCAGGAAGAAGGGCACTGGAATTCGAAGCCATTATTCCTGGCTCCCACTCTATATCCATTACACCATTTGTTTGCGCTCCAGAGAGCCATTTGAGGTCTCTAAATAAAGTGGCTAGGAAGACAAATTTGGTTTTCTAAAAATGTGATAACAAAAAGGAGATTAAAGGCAATGGTGGCCTTTTAATTGGACGAATGTACTATGTGTGAAGTCCTGTTGTGGTGGTGCTATGGGTTAATGCGCTGGACTGCAAAATCGGTTTGAACCTCAAGGTAGGCGGTTCAGGCTCACCAGCAGGTCCTAGGAAACCCTATACAGAGTCGCTATATGCCAGAACCAACTTGACAGCACAACAACTATGTGTGGCAGTAGTCATTGTCTCACTTTTTAGAAAAAACACATTTGACATTATAACTGCATTCGTTTTTTAGAATTTCTTTAAAAAGCAGCAAAATGAAATAAGCTTAAAAATCATACACCATTAAAAAGTCCCTAAATTCCTGAGAAATATTATAAAGACAATGCAATGTGTTCACTTAAATTTGAACCAAAATAAGTGGTAAAGCATAAACTACTGAGCAAATAATCCAAGAAGCTAGGTTCTATGAAGAAAATTGTGGCATGAAGAGTGGAGGAAGACTCATTAGCAACCTGCAATATGCTGATGATACAACCTTGCTTGCTGAAAGCGAAGAGGACTTGAAATACTTTCTGATAAAGATCAAAGATCACAGTCTTCCATATGGTTGTACCTCAAAGTACAGAAAACAAAAAATCCTCACCACTGGACCAATAAATAATATCACAATAAATGGAGAAAAGATTGAAGTTGTCTAAGAGTTCATTTTGCTCTGCTCAATCATAAACATTCATGGAAGCAGCAGTCAAGAAATCAAACAACATATTGTAGTAAGCAAATCAGCTGCACAGTACCTCATAAAAGTGTTGAAGAACAAAGGACTAAGGTGCACCTGACCCAAGTCATATGCAGATGGAAGTTGGACAGTGAATAGGGAAGACAGTGAAAGAATTGATACATTTGAGTTATGTTGTTGGAGGAGAATGTTGAGAGCAGTATGGACTGCCAGAAGAACAAACCAATCTGTGTTGGAAGAAGAATAGCCAGAATGCTCCCTGGAAGTCAGGATGGCCAGATCTTTCGTACTTTGGACATACTGTCTGAAGGGACCAGTCCCTGGAAAAGGATATCATGTTTAGTAAAGTGGAGGGTCGGAGAAAAAGAGGAAGACACCCCAACGAAATGGATTGGCACAGTGGCAGCAGCAATGTGCTCAAGAGTAGCAACGATTGTGAGATTGACTTAGGACCAGGCAGTGTTACAATTCTGTTATGCATAGGGTCTCTGTGAGTCAGTGCCGACTCAATGGCACCTATCAACAGCAAACTTTATGTGAAGTTGCTAATAACCATCTTTCATATCAGAGCCTTTTCAAAAAACATTGAACAACTCCCTTTCATTCATTTCGTTGTCATTGTTGCTGCTAGGTGCCATCGAATCGGTACTGATTCATAGCGACCCTGTGCATAACCGTTGCCAAACATGATATCCTGCTGTAGTGACTGGTCCCTCCTGACAATAGTGTTTTCTCCAGTGCTTACCAGGTGGCAGGCTTACAGCCAGGTGCTGAGCTCAGGGAGAAGGAGCCAGCAAAGTGGTCGCCTTGTCCATCTGGAACCCTAGGAAAAGAGGCACTGCCCATGCTGTCCATTCATGGTGTGCATTTGTGTAGTGACTGAGTTAGCGGGTGAGAAGTGCCCAGTGGAGTGAGTGCAATAGAAAGAACACAGTGTACTGTCACACTCTAGGGGACTGTCAATTTTACCCGAGCAAGTGGAAGGAGACTTCATAAAGAAAGTGACTTAGGTACCAGGCCAGACATAATCAAGGGCACAAAGCAAAAAGAAAGCAGATTCAGGGAGTTGTGTGGTTTTGATGTATCTACTGTAGGTGGTGGCGGTAGTGACAGTGGTAGTGAAATTGAGCTTTATTCTAGTAGTTAATCAAAGGCTTTTCGATAGAAAGGTAATGCCTGGTAACTGATGATAATAAGGTGCTTTAGAGTGGTAGAGACTGGAAGCAGAAAGGATGAGTTAGGGACAATTATTAACATAAAAGGGCTTAAGCTGGAGTTGAAGGAGGAGGTCAGGGAGATAGAGAGGAGGTAACATCAAGAGATTCTAGGCAGTTGTATGATAACCAAAGATATGTGCTTAGACATACATTTCTGAAACTGAGCAGAAAAGAGAAAGATCAGAGCAAATGTACACATGATTTAGAAACCATAAAACCTAACCAGACTGGAATAATTAGAGAACTGGGGCCCAGAGAGCTGGAGCAGATCTACAAAAAAGATAGCATTCAGCTAATGGGCAGCAAAGGAAACTTTTGAAAAGGCTTCAGGTACTTTTTAGTACCTAGAAGAGAGAAGAGACCCTCTTCCTCCCCAAATCTGGAAAATTCCTGTAAAGAGCCTGGAAGTCTGTGTTTTTCAAATCTTATTTCAGCCTAAGAAATGACAGTTTTATTTGAGAGCGAAAGGGGAGAATATTTCAAAGACAGCAGCTACAACAGTTACAACCAGAAAAAGTTGTGACTATAGTTGTTCCCATGTTTTTAAAACCAACTTGCTATTAAGAACAATACTTTTTTCAGTATTAAGACATTACGCTCACTGAACCAGTTGACTATAGATCTGAACCTGTGGATTTCAGAAAAATGCTAATGACTAACTGGCTTTCCTAATGAAGTTGGGAAGTAATTTAGGGACGGCCCCAGGATACCCTGGTTCTCCAGCTCTGATCATAGTCTCTGTTATTTTAAAACATTGACAGCTGCTTTTTAATTGATTCATGACCTCTGTCTTTTTTCCTTTTATTTCATAGGGTAGAATGGTTTTGAAGAAGAAAAAGACTGCTTTCTGACTGACTGCCTTGAAGGAAAAAAGAACCTATTTTTGTGCATCATTTACCAATCATGCCACACAAGCATTTATTTTTAGTACATTTTATTTTTTCATAAAATTGCTAATGCCAAAGCTTTGTATTAAAATAAATAAATAATAAAATTAAAATTCTGCGCTGTTGAGTGTTATTCATCCACCTGTGTTGCAAAGGCTGATTTAGAGATCATATCCCCAAATTTATTTGCATGTGTTTCAGCAACAGAATGTGACCACAATATAAACACTGATACTTTCTGTTGGCATTTTCACACTGGCTCTTGGTTCCCAAGTAGGACTCCCAAGAGTGGTGATGTCCTGTGTAGCAGTGCTCCCTGACCCCCACAACTGGGATACTCCATTTTATTTTCTTCAGAGTTTGCTGTTTGCTTTCTAATGGTTTTTCATCCCTTTGCTTGTGGTTGATCTCTGTACCAGAACCTCAGCTCTGCAGTAGCAGGGTCATTGAACTTCACCACTGTATCCCCTGTACTTAGTTAGAGTGTTTTGCACATAGTAAGTGCTCAATAAATACTTGCGGGATGAAGGAATGAGTGTAAAAAAATCTTTTTTAAATATACATCAATTAGTAATAAATTATATCTTGATTTTTTTTTGTACCTAGTTTGCTCAGTATTCTTTTAAAAACTGCAAATTCTAAAAAGTTAGATGGTGAGTAATTTTATATCTTTAGTGTTTATCCTGCAGTGCCACACCAGGACTCCAGTGAAATATTTTTACTTAATTGATGAGGAAAATGTTGAACTGTTTTATATTCAGTTGTACACTTGAAGGATTGTCAGTATTTGAAATGTTGACCTCCCACCTCAGTATACCTGAAGAATAAGAACATGGCCCTGTTGGGAATGGCTTCATTACATCATTCATAATGAACTTGGAAGAGTTGAAGAGATATTTCTTCTTTTATTATTGAGATGTAAGCACTCAACTGCTAGCCACAAGGCTACCATTTTAAACCCATCAACTGCATCTTGGAAACCTATACAGGGTCACTATGAGTAGGAACCAGCTCTGCATCATTTAACAATTATTGAGATATACTTCATGTATCATAAAATTCATCCTTTATTTTAAAGTGTTCATTTCAGTGGTTTTTTAAGATACTCTCCACTATATAGTTCCACAACATTTTATCACCCCCAAAAGAAAGTCCATACTTAGCTATCCCCACCCCCGCCCCCGATGCCCATTGACAGTAACTCCCCATCTTTCCTCCTGCTTTCCAGGCTTCACTTTGTGACATTGCATCCTCTTGCCTCACCCTCAACCCCATCCCCAATGTCTTAGTGTTCTCCAGAGAAATGCAGTAAGATGTATACATAGATAGTCATTTTAAGGAGTTTGTGTCTCTCCTGTATCCTAAAATCCATATGTGAGGCAACAGGAAGAGTGAAAAGAAGTTTTTACTTTTGATGAAGTATAATTTATCTTTATGAAATACATTCTATTTTCGTTTTGATTGCTTGTACTTTAGGTGCCATATTTTAAAAAACTATTGCCTAAATTAAGGCCCCCAAAACTTACAAGAAATTTATAGTTGTTACTCTTCCATTTAGATCTTTGATCTGTTTTGAGTTAATATTTGTATCTGGTATGAGATAGGACTTCAACTTCAACCTTTTGATTGTGTGAATCCAGTTCTTACAACACCATTTATTGGAAAGACTCTTCTTTCCCTTCTTAAATGGTCTTGGTACCCTTATTAAAAATCAGTAGTCCATGATATATGAATTTACCTCTGGGCTTTCAGTTCTGTTCCATTTATCTATATGTCTATCCTTATGCTAGTACTACAAAGTTTTATTTACTATTTGTTTTTTGTGTTTTTAATTGAAATCAGATAATATGAGTCCTCCAAGTTTGTTCTTTTTAAAGATTATTTTAGATATTCAGAGTGCCTTGCATTTATATATGAATCTTAGGATTATTTTGTCCATCTCTGAAAAAAAAAAAAAAAGCCTTCTGAGATTTTTATAAAGTTTGTGTTGAGTCTGCAGATCATTTTGGGTAGTTTTGCTACCTTAACAATGTTGTCTTCCAATTCTTTCTTGAACATAGGATGTCTCTTCATTTGTTGCTTTAAAATTCTTTCAATGCTTTGTAGTTTTCAATATATGACACACTTTTTTATGTGTAAGATGTCTTAGGTTTTATTTACTAATCAATAAATAGATTTGTCTTAATTCTATTTATATTAGCTATATTTAATTTAGGGTGCCAACTCTAAGGGAAGGTTTTCTCTCTACCTATTTTAATTCTTGAAGGTTACAGGAAGCCTGGGTCTAAAGGATGCACTCTGCTCCTGGCTCTTCTTTCTTGATGGTGATGGTGGTTGTTAGTGCCTAGGAGTCATTTCCAACTCAGAGCAACCCTGTATAGAATTTCCAAGGAGTGGCTGGTGAGTTTGAACTGCCGACCTGGCAACTCAAACCATCCTTCAGTCCAGTGCTTATCTTACAGCTCCACACCAGTAGGTCCTTTTCTCCCTGCTTGCTTCCTCTTTCCTTGTATCTCATAAAAAGTGATCTAGGCCACACCCCAGGAAAACTCCTTACAATAGATAAGGACTGTGAACCGATTAGGGGTATTACATTCCACCCTGGTGCCCTTACATCGGATCAGGGCTGACCACATCAGATCAAATTGTGGGAGATGATCACATCATTACTCAACTGCCATATTGTATCCCTATATAGCTGCCAAATCACTGAGAATTGGTCCAGCCAATTTCATACATTCTGGGAGGACACAATTAAATTTGTGACAATACCTTTTATTTCAGCCCAGTAATGCACTGTTAGGAGTCCTTGTGGCTCTGTGGGTCAATGCACTGGAGTATAAAGTCAGTTTGAACCACAAGGTCAGCAGTTCAAGCTCACCAGCTGCTCCTTGGAAACCCTATACAGGGTCACTATGGGTTGGAACCAACTTGACGACACTAACAACAGTAAATACACTGTTGAGTTGTTATTTGTTGTCAAGTGCCATTGAGTCGGTTGTGACTCATAGCAACCATGTATATGATTTCCAAGGAGCAGCTGGTGAGCTTGAACCACCGACCTTGCATTTCAAACGGCTTTGCAGTCTGGCGCATCAACCAACAGCACCACTGTTGAGTTGGTGGTGGTAAAAACAGGCATTCTTTTTCCTCAAACTAGGGGGAACTTTAAAGACTTTCACTATTATGTGTGATTTCACAGTGTGATTTTTGTACGTTCTTCATGTTGAAAAAGTACCTTTCTGTTCCTACTTAGCTGAGTGTTTATATAATGAAACAATGGGATTGTGTGAAATACTTTTTCTGCGTTTATTGAGATGGTCTTGTGGTCTTTGTTTTTATAATTATGGCATATTCCACTGATTTATGTTGCTGAATTTGATTTGCTAGCATTTTGTTGAGAATTTTTGCATATATATTCATAAGTGAATATATGTGCCCTAGTATGGCTATGAAAGGAGCTCTGGTAGCGTAGTGGTTACGAATCGGGCTGCAAACCTTAAGGTCAGTGGTTCGAAACTACCAGCTGCTCCGCGGGAGAAAGATGAGGCTTTCTACTCCCGTAAAGATTTACACCCTCGGAAACCCTGTACAGGGTCACTATGGGTCGAAACCGACTCGACGGCACTTAACAACAACAACAACATGGCTATGAGTCAGAACCGACTCCATGGCACATAACAACAACAACAAAGTATAGCACTGTGGCCTAATGCCTCAGACTGCAAACTCGTTTGAACTGCAAGGTCAGTCGTTCAAGCTCACCAGCTGCTCCTTGGAAACCCTACACAGGGTCGCTAAGGTCTGAATCGACGGCATTTAACAATATTCTTAAGTGCTGTTTTCTTGCAATGTCTTTGGCTGGCTTTGGCATCAGGGTAATTCGGACCTCAGAATGAATTAGGAAATATCCCTTCCTCTTCTTATTTTCAGACATGTTTAAGAAAGATTGGTGTTGATTCTTCTTTAAGTGTTTGGAAAAATTTACCAGTGAAGACATTTGGTCTTTGGGTTGTCTTTGTGGGAAGTTTTTTGATTATTACTTGTTATAGGTCTAGTCAGATTTTTCATCTATATTTGAGACTGTTTCAGTAGTTTGTGTGTTTCATCTCATCTAGGTTTTCTAATTAGTTGGCATGCAATTGTTGAGAGCATTCTTTTGTAATTTAACAATGTCTTTTTCATTCCTGATTTTCAGTTATTTGAGCCTTTTTTCCTGGTCAGTCTAAGTAGAGGTTGGTCCATTTTATTGATTATTTTTGTTGAATTTTCTCATTTTATTCTGTATTTCATGTATATCTATTCTCGTGTTTATTATTTTCTTCCTTTTGCTTGTTTTTGGCTTAGTTTGTGTTCCTTATATCTTAATATGGAGTCCTGGATTGGCAGTGTATATGACAAGCACTGGGCTGCAAGATTGGGTTGGAACACAAGGTTGTTAGTTCAAACCCACCAGTCGTTCCTTGGAAACATTATACAGGGTCACTATGAGTCATAACTGACTTGATGGCACTTAACAATTTAACAACAACAATCTCAATATAGATGTTTTATCACTTTAAATTTCCCGTAAGCACTGTTTCCATGCATCTTATAAATTTCACTGAGTTGTGTTTTCAATTTCATTCATCTCAAGATATGTTCTAGTTTTTCTTTTGATTTCCTCTTTGACCCATTGGTTATTTAGGAGTGTGTTGTTTGTATCCCGTATATTTGTGAATTTCCTTATTTTCTTTTGTTACAGATTTCAAACTTCATTGTATTGTGGTCAGAAAACATACTTGGTATGATTTCCGTCTCTGTAAATTTATTAAGGTTTATTTTATGATCTGTAGTATGTTCTGTCCTTGAGAATGTCCCAAGGACACTGGACAAGAATTTGTATTGTGCTATTGTGTGTATCATGACAAACTATGGACAACATTGTGAAGTATGAGTATTCCAGAACACTTAATTGTACTTCTGAGGAATCTGTACCTGGACCAAGAGGCAGTTGTTGGAACAGAGCATGCATGGGAACACTGAATGATTTAAAATTAAGAAAGGTGTGC